TTGTACCGAATCTAGCAGCTCTTTTTACATGCTTTGTTTATATTGATCATTGCCCCACCTTTAACCAACATAGTAGCCAAAGCTGTTTGTCATTAAATGCACTTAACAAATAAAATATTTTGATTTTCCACGTGCTAATCACTTAAAGGATCAGTGATTAATCTGAATAGTTAATGTATTAAGTTTACACATAATATATAATAGTACTTGAGATTTGACAATGGATCGCCTTGTGTTAAAATGCAAATCTGTTTGATTTGCCCTAAAGTTTGACGTTCCTTTATTCTCTGGGGCCTAGATGTTTCCAACCCATTTGGAAATGTTATGACTCAGAAAAGTTGATAGTTTGCTATTATCATTAAATCCTTGCCCGGTATCAAATTAATGAGATATGGAAATAAATAAATGTTTATGTGGGTTGCTCGAGAATCTGTTTGCCCCTCCTAAACTATATATGCAAGTAGTAGCTAGTCGATGCAAAGGCTATGATTGCTATTCCGCACCTTGAGCAAGGAAGAGAAGGAAGACCATAAAAAAGAAAGCGTCTATAGGGAGAGAAAATGCATATGGATGAATGTATTGCTACAAGCTAGGAGCTTATCTAAATGATGTGACAATAACAACATTATCGTTGTTTTCTTTTCTTTGGTAGTGGGAAACAGATGGAAGTGAGACACCTTAATTTGGTATCTAACTATAACTTTCGATTTAGTTTTAATTAATGACATTGGCTCCTGCATATCAATCAAGATGCTTCCATTAAGACAAGCGATGCATATGCAACCAATTATTGTTTTGAAGGAAAAATTAAACACCACTCAGTTCATTATGGATTTAGAAATCTTGGATATATATCAGGTAGCGAAGGTTCTTTTGTTCTTGTTCGAGTCTTCCTCCATAATGAGAGGAGCATAAGAAAATAACAAACTTTCGCGGGCCATGTTTGAGCACGAGTTAATGAGAATGCTAAATGCTCCACCCTTAGTTTAATATTTAAGACTATTCAAAGCAAACCAACATATTCTGTGTGTATCTTTCAACCCATTCAGAAAAATAAATTGTCTTCATTCTTTCAACAATACATAGGGCAACTGAACGCAGACAAGTGTGGGAAAATCATATTAGCTGTTTCCTTTTCTTCATTTTCGCTTTTTTCTTTGTTTCTCTAAATGAAAAATCTCACTTACAAAAAATAATACAAGAAAGGGTATCGATGTTAAAAGAGAGACTCTTCCCGGCCCCCCGGAAAAAGGATAAGAAAGGGACAAGTAATTTTGACTGAAATTTTATTGTGAGTCGCACCCTTAATGGAAAACAGAATAGGTCCCTGATGACAAATACAACATTAGTTTATAGCTGCTTTTAAGAAGAAAAATTCATTGTACTTAGATGATTGTTAATATAAAATCACAAATTATAGTACTGCAGTATAATAAATATTCCCCGGATAAATCTTTTATGCAAGTGTTGAATAAACATTCAATATTTTATAAAATTATAAGTGTTGAATAGTCTTTTCTTTGGTTAACTAATAAAAACACTGTTTTAATTCTAATTCACATGTATATGTCTTTGGAAGACCTATTATACCAAATTCAGGTTATAAATATTAGCATGTGCCTCAGCACCAAAGAAAAAACAAACGTAGGCCTCCATTAAAATTACGTTTTGAAATCTTAGGTCATGTTTGTTTTAAAGTTGAAATTTTAATTTTTTTTATTTTTAATAAAATCATATTTCAATAAAAAAAATATATAACTCACATCAATTTAGTTTAACTTTTTTTTTTGGTTTGTACGGGTTTACTTTGAAAGGAGCTTCAATCAGATCAAACTAAAAAAATAAATTAAATTTAAATTCAATAATTAAAATTTAACCTCTATTTTATGGAACAAATCAGGTCAACTCGATTAAATAAACATATTTGGTGGCAATTCGTTTGTTAATGAGTCAATGTTTTCAATTCAAGCAGATAGGCTATTAAATTAGATTAATTCAACGCATTTAAGCTAGTTCAATGCTATCAATAATACACTTATTGTAACTTTAGTTGAACTTATTTTATTTTAAATTAAAATATTAACTCAATCTAATTCTTTATGGGGCCATCTCAATGGTCCTTTTTAAAATTTAAGTTCATTAACTTCAATTTTGATGGATAAAAAAAAGACCTTCTATTTTTATTTTTTTTAAATCTAAATTTAAGAAAGTTCACGTTTTTCTTAGTAATGTCCCAAACCCCAAATATTTAGTCCTAGTAAACAAAACAACGACTTACTTCAATTAATAAAAATAAATAGATGTCAGGTTAGGCAAGAAGTTGATAACTAAAAGACCAGGTTAAAAAAGTAATGAAATTCTTCAGTCTACTACACAAATTTAGTAGGAATGGTACACGCACAAAATTAATTAAGGTACTCTATATAATATTCATGAGTGGTTGCAGATAAGATCAATTTTGAAGAAAAAAAATCATTTAATTTAATTCAATTAACATAAATTTAAAGTAGAGTAATACTTAAATCATTCAATTTTGTAATTACGACTAAATGACCCAATTTGTAAACATTTGATTAAAATAACAATAATAAATACATTTTAAAAAAATAGAACGTCACTATAAGGAGACGCTGAAAATAATGTATAAAATTATTGAAATATAAAGAATTAATAAATTATATAGCCCTTAGCTTTAAGCAAATGTTAGCATTCTGGTGGGAGTCATTATACATTTAAATATGTATTTGCATGTAATTATTACTTGTTGTTTGTCAGCATCACAAGCAGCCTCCTTCAAAAGTTTGTCACAACCTTTAGAGCACGCAGAGGAGCATGAATCATATTAAATCAAAACCCATCTTTTTAAATTTTTTCTGCATAAAGTAGCTGATCATGAAAATTTCTCTAAATATATTTCAAATATGCAAAACGGGGTAATCAGCCTCCTCATTACATCCTCCCTCAAATTAATCACCTCATTGAAGTTCTTAACTTTGGCTCTATCAATAGTTTTTTTGAGACTTCTCCACATCCTTGTTAGAGCCTTTTCTCATAAACTACTGTAAACCTCTTGCAACATAGCTACAAACGCGATTCTCTTTTCGACAGATAATTCAGGTGCATCTGGCATGGATCACAAGGGTCTTCTAATGTTACTGTTTGTTCTTTGTTATGAGGTTCTAGAAAATCGATGTAATTCATATTTTAATACTTAATAGTTCAACCTAGGGTGTATTTGTGTAATCATGGTCGTGTAATCCATAAGGCAACGTGGCTAGTTTATATAGATTTGTTGTACTATTCAATATTTAATAATTCAACCTAGAAAATTTAATTCGAATGCCTCGTATATAAAATTAAAATCAGTTTTTAAATTTTTTTAGTGAAAGAGAATTTATTCTTTTCGATAATTAGTCTTTTTTTATTAAATTTTCATTACTTTATTTTAATTATTTATTTTTTAAAATATTGACACTCTAATTGAACAAGTTAAACAATGCAACTTTTTTTATATTTGAATTAAAAAAATTTAAAACTTTGGATGAGGATGAATTGTAAAAATATTGTATTATTTTTTTTAAAAAAATCAAACATTCTAATATTAATGACCTTGATATATTTTCAGAATTAAATATATTGAGAGAGAAACTAATAAAAGAAATTAATACTTTATTAGAAGTATTAAACAATATCAAAATATTATTCTTGTCTAAATATTCGTATTGCCGACAAAATATTATGGACAATACCTATTAAAATTATTTAACCAAGGAAATTGATAAATAATTTTGTAGCACAAAAAATTTAAAATATAATATGAAATTCAATAATTTATATTATACTAAATTCCTTCAATTAATAATTTTATCTAAGGTCCCAAAATTTTTAAACATAGCATTGCACGCACACTTATATGTATAGATGCAAGTGACATTAATATTTTAAGTACTTTTAATCAGTTAAATCTAATGTTGATTACGTAATCATTAGTTTTCACATTATATATATAAAAAATAACAATAACAATTGTAACAAGGCATTGGTTGATTTTTTCCATAAAAAAACAACTCTTTAAATTATTAATTGCGCTCTCTCTCTCTCTTTAAAACGTGGACCAGAAAGCATGTTGGCATGATATATTAATTTTTTTATAAATTTAAAATAATAAATATATTATAATAAATAAGTATTTGCCTTTTTTTATTTCGTTACATGTACCTTTAAATCAATATACATTAAAACTTTGTTTATTTTAATTCTGGAAGTTGATTTGATTATATAAAAATAATAAATTTTTATCAAAAAATATAATCAATATTTATTTAAATAAAAAAATTATTACTTCAAGTGCTTAAACTTAAAGAGTTAATTTTCTATTTATTTTCACTCATCTCTTTTTCACGTCCCACGCCAAGAATTTGCAATCTTAAATTCAATTTTCCTATGCAAAACCAGCAGAGTCTAAAATGACTGCTTAATGCATGTTGATTTTATTTGGTTTTTTGAATTCCTTTTACCCGGTGTTTTCTTTAAATTATATTAGATTTTGTTTTAATGTTTAAAACCAACTTGTCATTGGATTTTTAATAATTATATTTTTACACCTGAATCTTTTTATTATTTATTTCTTTTACTTTCTTATTTTTTTATCAACATTATATGTAATATCTCTTTTTTCTCTTTTTCTGTTCTTTTATCTCACTTCTTTTCACTCACTTATCGTTTAAAAAACAATTTAATTTTTTTTAATAATAAACTGTTATTTTATTTTCAAACATTTATAGAATAAATAATGAAAACAAAAAATATTTTTAATATTTAATTTTCAAAATTTTACGTATTTCTTTTATCAAATTATTGATCACACCTCTTAAGGTTAGGTTTTGTTTTGTTTTTATCTTTCTCTTTTCACTGTCTATTTTATATCAAAACAGTGAGTGTAAACAAATAATTTTCCCTTAATTGTGTTTTGAAGCAATGAGGATTGGGGTTACATTTGACAATGTGAAGATGAACTTAGATAATAAAACTTAAGAGGATAAGGTAACAAAATGGACGCTCATTATAGAACTGAATCGCAGGCGCAGGTAAGGAAGCTAAAATGGGAAGTTGCAGTTTGGAAAGGGAAAGGCTTGAGATGTTCGAAGTTGGACCATGCAAAGATGCTTATGAAATGGGTCTCTTAATAGGCCAAAGATTTTCCCAACTAATAAGAAGCAGAGTGGCCACAGACCTCATTCTTCAAAATCAGCTTCGACCCTTTGCTCAAACCCCTTCATCTCAACCACTTCTCAAACCACTTTTTGATAACACTCGAACCAAATTCCCAAGGTATTGGGATGAACTCTTGGGGACTGCGGCAGGAAGCGGTGTGCCTCTTCTTGATGTAATTGCAAACCCATATATATAAGCAAATGTTGCAACATAATTGTAACATCAATTAATAGTATTTAGTTTTTGTCTTAAGCAGATTTTGCTTATCAACTTCCGGAAGGAGATTCTTGCATTTATTCCAAAAGGAGGAGCAAAAAGTACCAACGCGGACACCTTAGATGACTGCTCCGATATTCTTGTTGTCAATGAATCTATGGCCATTGCAGCTCACAATGAGGATGCAAATATTGCCCTTGTTGGCCACACGTAAGATTAGTCATTCATATCTTAGTTTCAAAATTCGAATAAAATGGCTTTATGAGTATCTTATCTGTGGACTTACATTTACAGCTACTTAATCAAAGGAATCTTGCCCAATGGACTGTTCTTCGTAGGTTATACATATGCTGGGGAGCTTCCAAGCTGTGCATTTGGGTTCAATAGCTATGGACTGGTAAAAACTTCTATTGGCTAGGAATCTATACTTGAATTGACTTGAATTTTGATCCACACATCTAGGATATACTTTTACACTCTTTTTTAATGAAGAACTTTTGTTTTATTGAGGAAACAAGTTAACGATATTATAATATTGTCTGTCTATATATGATAAATTATGAATCTTTTGAAATTTATTTTCTTATTTTAATCAATAATTAAATTCTCTATTTTTTCCTCTTACCTAGTAAATTTCTCATTTCAAAAGAGGTAGTAAATAGTATCTCAAATTATAACCATTTATTATTTTAGTATCTAACTTTACAAAAATTTTATGTTAGTCATAATTTTTCAAAAATCACTGATTTAATACTTTGTCCTTCGTCATTTTGTATCAAAAGAACTAAAATAATATATTTTGTAAAGTCATGAATTCAAGTGATATTTAAAAAAAAAATGGAAGCTAAAGTGATTAACACTTTCAATTTGAAAAACTAAATTTAAGAGACTAATGTGAGTATTTAGTCAAATATCCTCTATGCAATAAAATGAAGGTTCTCAAATATTCTGTTATGCAAAAATGTTATGCAAGTGAAAAAACTAGCGTTATGATCCGCAGGCGTTTACTCTGAATGCTGTACACCCAGCTGAAGATGAGATTGTGGCCGGTGGCGTTGGACGCAACTTCATCACTAGGGACATTCTGGAAGCAACTAGCATGGAAGATGCAATGAATGTTAGATTTTGCTGCCTTTATCTTATGTTTATGAACTATTTGATGAGTTAAGTGTTTTCTGATCATGCTCTTATTTCATCAGAGGATCCAATCGTTAGAAGTCTGTGTGGGGCATTCTTATAACCTGATTGAAACAAGCACACGCAGGATTTTTAATGTTGAAACTGCTTCTAGGAAGCGGATTTCAGTCTATGAGGTGGGGGAAACACCCTTCTTCCATGCAAACATGTATCTCCACCTACATATTAATCAGGCAAGTGATACCAAAAAAAAATACCATATCACACTCGCATGTTTTGCTGCATGAAGTGTCTCAATTCGCTTCATCAATATAATATTTGAACTTTTGAGAGCAAATTGTATGTCAAGATATCATAAAAAATTTCTACCAATGAAACGTGTGTACATTTGACTAAAACATCAATGGATTTAATTCAAGGTAAAAGATGAGAATTCAATCAGCAGGCAGAAAAGGGCAGCTACCATGACAAAAATATCAAAAGGGGATTTGCTGTCACTTCTAGGAGATATGGAAGACAAAAATTACCCTATCTATATGACAGGTAAATTGAAGACATCTCACATCTGTGATTGAATCCCTTCTTGTCAATATTCTCTTGATTATAACTTTTTCTTTCCCCTATTCTTAGGTCCATTACTTCACACCCTCTGTACCACTGTTATAGATCTGGACAAACAAACACTATCAATTATTGCAGGGAATCCAAAAGAAGATGATGTTTCACATGTTTTCTCTATTTCTCCAACTCAGAAGTCACATTGATTTTAAAGGAGCCTAAGTTTGATTACAATTGGAAAAGAACCTGTTAATGCACTTCGTATGTTATGCTGGTTCATAGAGTCCCAATATATGCCCATCAATACAGCGCATAGCTGCAACCTGATCACATGTAATTCACAATTGGAAAAATATGTATTTTTAAATGTACAATTAAACATGTCATTACCTTTGGATCTCATATTTTATAGAACCATCAAGTTCAGCTCCTAATGACATTAATTTAGCGACTGTGGTGTTAATGTCAGTGACCGTAAATGATAAAAGCGTGGAGTATCCTTCTGCATGACTGTGTCTTCGATACTAAATCAGCTGTTTTGGCCTTACAATATTTGAATTGCAACTTTTAGAAACAAAGCAATCCCTTGTTTTTGTCTCTTATATATAATCGTTGTCACTTTAAACCTTGAAAATTCTTTATCGTCAATTGGGTCCTCAGTTATCTAAAGGGTTTTCAAATTGGTCACTTTTAATCATCCAAGTTTTGTGACAATACTTTCTTTGGTGTTTTCTGTAAAATACATATTGATGAAAATTTGTCTTCGAGGAAAACAACATTTTGATTCTTAAGGATCCGTCACATTAATTCTCGAAAGATAAAAAAAGTAAAAAATAAATAAAATATTTTATCTATAAAAGAACAAAATGTCAATCAATATAGTTTACTTTCAGCTATTAAATTGGAAAACATTTTAATCCTTCAAGACTGAAAATGATGATTTTCATTTTTCATTTTTCAGGATTAACATTTTTTAAGCTAAATAAATAAACAATTTTTTAAATATGTATTCAAAGGCACATATTAAGAAACTAAGAAATAGTAAATTTGTATTAAAATTTATAACGCTTAATATTAGTAATGCATTGAATTTAGGGTTGAATTTTAACTTTGGTTAGTGACAAATTATCAAACGCATGAGCGGAAAAGTGGAAGAAAGGTACTGTGGAGATTGCATGGAGGCAAGTGCGAGAGGATCAGATTGAAGTTCGGTTCAACGGACAGAGAAGACTTTGGTGGTCAGGCTCAAAACCGTGGATTGACAAAAAAAAAAAAAAAAAAAAAAAGGCCAAACCTTGGGAGTAGTCAAGTAGAAGCGTGTCATTAAAAGAAGCATTTTGAGCATTTTGGGTGAACAGAGAGACTCTTTTTCTTTTTTTCTCTGTTAGGGTTTCTCTGCCCTAGGATTTTCTTCTGAGCACTTATGCTGCCACATTCCTAGTAAGCCGATTCGACCAGGCTTTTAAGTGGCATTATAGTGAGATCGCGTTGTGATCGTATATTGGAGGGAGAGGAAGGTAGAGAGCATGGATCCTTTAAAAGATGAGGCCCAGTTGAAAGAAGAACTAGATTTAATGGCTAGAAGTATGAAAAAAATTAAGACGATCTCAGATAGCGTCATGAATGTGGTGGACTTGTTGGCTTAAGAAAAGGATAGTGAGGAGGCCTTCGCAAACCAGGTGCTTTTTTTCCTTAAATCTTTTCTTTGTATATCTTACAAGGATAAAGTTGTGGCTGGTAATGACATAGATCTAACTTTTAATAATAAGAAAATTATAAAATTGGTCTTAGAAGAGCTAAATATCCTTAAGAATTAGATGATTCTACCACAGAGGGAAACAATATTCAGAATCTCCGTCCTGAAATAAAAATTTCACTAGAGGACTATGAACTCTAGTGCAATCCATGGAAGTTCACCCTAATTGTGAAACTTTTAGGTAAAAATATTTCTTTTAAATTTCTTAATCAGAAACTTCATAATATTTAGGATAGAAATGGTACTCTTAAAATTTTGGATCTTAATAATGAATTCTTTTTGGTAAAATTTGAAAATATTGAAGATTATAAATATGCTCTCTTTGAGGGTCACTGGTTAATATTAGATCATTACCTCTTGATTCAAAGGTGGAGGCCCTTATTCAAGCCACAAGATTACTGTCTTAAGAAAATTGCTATATGCGTGTGTGTTCTTGATCTACCTTTAGAATTATATAATGAAAAATTTCTTTGACGGGTTGGTGCTTGCTTAGGGACCATGTTAAAAATATATCATCACACTTCTTTAGTATCTAGGAGAAAATTGCTACACTCTTTATTGAGCTTGACCTCAATAGGAAGTTAATCCCCTCCTTTATGGTTCTGGGTCAAGAGTTTAGGGTAGAGTATGAGAGTTTACACTTGATTTATTTTCAATGTGGGAAATATGGACATAGGGTAGACTCCTGTCAGGAAAAGGTTAATCTTAATCAAGAGAATACAACACAAGATTCTTTATCTACTAGCTCGAACTCAGAGAAGGGCAATGGTCCTAGTAATCTAGAAACCCAATTTAGAGAAAGTTCTCAAAATAGTTATCAGAATATTGCTAAAGATGATAATAATATATTTAGACCATGGATGTTGGCAAAAAAACTTATTCAGAGAAAAGTTGGACATATTAAGAATACTAGCAATCCAACCAGTTTTGGTAAAGGTAAGGAGTCTCCCAACAACTTTAGGTTTAACATCTTAGGTAACTCCTATGAGGATCGGGACAAGGAACCATGTGTTCATAGTCATAATTTGGAATCATCTAGTGTTGGGCTAGGTGTTGAGAAGAAGAGTGAGGGTTTTTTCTATTAAACCTAAGCAGTATAGCAAAAGTCCTTCAAGTCATAACCCTCAGCCTAATTAACAAAAAGCCACCCAAGACAAAAGTGAAAAACAAAATAGAGAATGGTGGGAGTGATTTTATGCTAACTCTAAAAATGGGAATCAAGAATTATCTAATCCCTCATCTAATAATCTTTGTAAGGATAATTAAGAAAATATTTTACAGTTAATGAGAATTATGCAAAAAGAGTTAGAGAATAATGCCTCTGGTCTGTACAAAATTAAGTGGAAGTGAACATTAGTAAGGACTAGGATCCCCAACTTGGAGAACTCCCTAATGATTGTTGAGACTTTTCCTTCAAACACGGCAAGTACCAGAATATCGTCCATAGAGAGCAATTCAAAATGTATTAATTGTTAAGATAAAAATTAATTGAGCTTATATATAATAGAATTGATTCATGATTTTCATGAAATTTTGAGTAACAATTATAATGTAAAATATAGTAAAATTTAAATTAAAGAAACTGAGATTGAATTTCATCTATCTCCCTCTATGTACAAAAATACAAATATATAGTAATCATTTACAATGAATTTGATGCAAAATACAAAAATTATATATTTCAATTCCTTGAAAATATATTTCTTAGATAATTTCTTAAATGTTGATTCCTCAAACAGTTAACAAACTATCCAGCATTAAAATCAGGATTTAAAAGCAATCAATAACTTGAAATCTATTCCTAGAGTAACTAGTTATTGAGTAATTTCAATCAGATCTAAATCTAAGTAATACTTTTTTAAATATAACTAAGATCTGAGCTCAAGAAAGTATCAAATAGACAGATTCAAGCATTAATACGAATTGAAATCACCAAATCAATAGAAATGAAGAAGAAACAACTATGTTTATATAAATTATTGAGAATACATCAAGTTTGAATATTTACATTCAATCCCATATAAATTTTAGTTGCTCATTGCAACCATAGTAACAAGAAATGAGATACAAATGGTGTAGAACATCAAAACTTGAATATTTCAACTCTTTTCCTTTGCTCTCTGTCTCTGAAATCATCAAAATGAAACAGTCACCCCCTTTAGAACATAAAAGTCGCATTTTATACTGGTCTGAACAAAATTTCTCTAGCTACAGTGACAACTCATCGTTGTAGCGAGACATGAAGATAAAAATTAGGTCATTCAGTTTGTTTTTCGCTGCAATGATATGTCTTGCTACAACGATATAAGGAACTCTTGCTATAGCAACACATTATCGCTACAACAATACATTATCGCTGTAGCTAGAGGAGCACATAATTACCTTCATAAAAATAAGCATTTTCACTGCAGGGAAGGTATCTTGCTACAGCGAGAAACTTGGAGAAGCTAACTTTTTTTACAACTTCATGCTTTATATTTTTCTTACTTTTTCAATTTTCTTCAACTTTGAATAATGTTTCTCTTTTTATTCTAACTATAAAATAGATCAAAAAGGAATCAAAACATTTACAATTGCATTATTTTTCTAAAATATACAAGTAATTGTAAAAGTTCTAATTTTGGAGAAAATTTAACAAAATAATCCAAACTTTCAACATGAAAAGTGCTCAAGTCATCATCTCAAATTACTAATTTTATACAATTATCAATTATTCTTCTTATTTGAATACTAACCTAAAAATCAGATCTGATAGTAAGATTCAAAATAATCATATTAGCCCTCTGCCTTTGGATTACAGTCCCCTGAAGGACTAGCATCTTGAAGATGCAATTTAATCTGTTTTTTCTATTTTTATGAACTTTTTTTTTTTTTTTGGAATTGTAAAAGTGCTAGTAATAAATCTTTTGCTAGGTTATTTAATTACCTAATTAAAATTTATAATCTTGATTTTATTACTTTATTTGAACCTAAAGTAAGTCTAAAACAGGCTAACAAAATTATTAAAAAAATTAATCTGAGTGCATTTAAAGTTGATGCAATAGGTTTTTCTAGAAGTATTTGGTGTTGCTGGAATACTAAGAGGGTTACAGCCTCTGCGATCTCTAAAACTAGATTTGTAGTGAATCTTAAAATTAATACAAGTGGTCAGCCTAACTAGATTTTATCTTCTATATATGCTAGCCCCCATCCTAAAGCCAGATCTAATTGTTGGAAAGAGCTAATAGACTTTAGTAAATTTTTCCAAAGTCCTTGCTGCTAGTTAGGGACTTTAACTTAGTCCTTTATGATTGAGAAAAATGTGGTGGTAGCTTTGTTAATCTCCAACAAAGGAATGGTTTTATCAACTGCCTAAATAGTTGTGATCTTCATGACTTAGGGTACAAAGGTAACCCATTCACTTGGTATAGAGGTAATCAAAAAGAGAGGCTAGATAGGTTGTGGCCAATAATGATTGGAGACTTTATTTCCTTAATAGTTCAGTTATCCATATCTCTATTCTTAAATCTAATCATGTTAGGCTCTAGCTTAATGTAAGATTTAATTATAAACTAGCTAATTCTAAGAAGACCTTTAAGTTTCTTGCTCCCTAACTATCCCATCTAGATTTTACCAATCAAGTTAAAAATTCTTGAGTCCATTTTAGTTCCTAGACAGAGAATGTAACACCTTAAATTTAATTTTAAATAAATAAGAAATTTCACAAATTTTTAAAATAATAAAACTTTCATTTTTAATCCAAATTTCA